ATGAGTTGTGGCTGGAAGGGCATCCACTGGGTAAAAACTTGCTGGATAAGTTGGTAGTTCATTCCACTGTGGCGACCCCGGATAAATAAGGTGACTAAGCCGACAAGAAAATGAATGAATGAATCTTACAGCCTGTCAATTTAATTAATAAAAATATTGATTTATTTGTACAGATATTAAGATTTAATAATTGATTAATTGAGTGTTGTGGTGGTGGTGGGGGGGGCACTTTTAATTTCGCCATAAAAATTTCTATAAAAATGTAAAAAATGAATTCATTTTAAATATTGCATTTCATGGGAGATTTTAGCTTTGCCATAAAAAAAAATCTTACATCGATAGATCAAAGAGCCTTAATGTATTTATTTGTACAAATACAGTTCATTTTAAAATATTATTTTTGGGGGGAGACACACCACTTGACGTCTCTTGCTTGTCAAAAGCCCCTTTCACACAGTGATATCATTAAAATATCCTGAAAAATTTCCCGAACGACTTTACTGGTAGATTCAAAAAAGTGTTTTTCACATAGACATTATACATTCTGACATCATGAACCAAAAATGAGCTCTAAACGGCTGCATTTGTACGTGTAAATAATTACAAATTCTGTGTATGAATAAGTATTAACAACAACTTCAATGTAAACATATGGAGAACACTTTTACATGTAGAGATGTACATAATATGTGTGTGTGCTGGTGCTCACGGGCTGCTTCATGTGCACACAACTGTCAAGCAACTGAAGCAGAGCTTGGAGGTAAACAAACAGCGGTTTATCATAAACATTTTAGCGATCATTTTTTTACACAGTGGGCATTAAGAAGAAACATAGAAATGTTATCTGGCTTCCATCTAGCAGCTAAATGTGTCTGGAAAAATACTCAAAGCCTATTATTTTTATAAACCGCGCGGATGTGAATGCGTCTGAATGTTCTGATATGCTGGAGTAGATGTCTTACGTCAGCACGTTTTAATCGTGAACGCACTCTTCCGGCAATTGTCTCTCTGTGTTCACACATAGCAGCATTCAGGCAGATTACCGGTAATATTACAACTTCTCTTTCCGGAAAATTGCCGGAAAAAATTTACCCAAATTTTCAAAAAGAGCCTGTTCACACATACAGACCTTCCAGACATTTACGGTAATGTGTGAAAGGGGCTTTATCTTTATTAAAAATATATATTTATTTATTTATTCGTTCATTTAACTCCACACAGAAATGCCAACTGGCCCAGCCGGTACTCGAATCTGCAACCTTCTTGCTGTGAGGCGACAGTGCTACCCACTGAGCCACCATGTTGTTCTTATTTATTTGTTTATTTATTTATTTAGAAATGAATGAAGTTGTTTAAGAGTTGTTGCACCATAACATATATTTCACAACCTGAACTGCCTTTGAATGGTCAAATAAAGTCAGAATATATCAATAAAATAAATAATACAATTAAACAATAATAGTTATTAATATATAAGCAGGGCATTGCATTTTGAACATCACAAAACTAATCCATAAATCACTACATTTGCACATTAAAATCTGTCTTCTTTTTTTAAACTGGGAGTTTACAACACAGCTCAATACAAATGTTGCCCTCATTAGATTATAAACAGTACACATCTGTCTCACATGCAGCGGCCACAGGAAACGTGTCAGGTCACATGCAGCAATGACAAACCAGTGATACCAAATGATTGACAGATACCAGACATGACACTTCCAAAACAAATTATACGACCAGCCAAGAGCAAAACTGCCTGAGACACAACAACAAACACCAACAAAACACCAACTGAACAAGAAATCATCAGAGGCCAGTGAGCGTAAAAAAAGGGAAGACATGGAAATGAAGCAGAACAAAAGTTGGTTAAATCTGAAGGGAACAGGCCTGTTGGAGCAGGCAGGGCCGTAATGGGAGCGGGACGGTCTTATCTGACCCCGTCCACACTGCAACGGTCACAGCTTTCATGGGCTTCTGAGGGCGGAGCGACAGCCTGAGAAGAAAGATAAAACTGTGGACATGAATAATCAGAGAGAAACAGATGATAGGTCGCTTTCTTCCATAACAGCTCTGTGACAGGACATCAGACTGTATATTGACTCAATCCATACTTCCTGCACCTCAAAGCTCAGTCTCATAGTGTATGAACAGGAAATAGAGCTCCTTATCGGACAACTGGAGGACAGCACAAAAGCACTACTCAATATAATGCACCAAAAATAAATCTACTACACTGTCATAGGAAGCAGCCATCTTCCCTCATGTCACCCCAATGACTTATTTTTTTTTAAATAAGCAAATGAAAACATTGAGTTACAGAATTGGGACATTGGCTGCACAACTGGGAAACAGTTTAAATAAAACCTGAGCATTCGACAGTGATAGTTCCTTATTTGTTTTCCTGGATTTGCAGTGTTATTGGATACAGGTCATAACCTCAGAATGTTGTTTTTGAGTAGTCATGTGATCTCAGTGTTTTTGTAGTATAATCTACAATGGACAGAGTCACTTTTTGACCTTGACAAAAAGTTCTACCTTCTACCAGTTTACCATGGTAAATTGTAGTAAATGTGACGTTAAAAGTTTGTGTGCAGTGATTAGCCTACCATTTGCAAAACCAGTTTCATACAATTAGCATGGTCAATCAATGGGTAGTGTATTTGTGGTAATAGGCCCATGGCTTACATTCAATTACCATCCGTTTATATACTTATTTGTGTAACCTGGTTCATTTTCCTAGCAGGCAAGCTAAAGAACATAACACTGCCATTGTGGATGAATTCTCTGAGGTAAGATTATAAATGTGCAGTAGGGCTAAATAAGAAAGGGGATGGAGTTGTCAATTTCTCAACGGTTGGACAAAACAATCTGGATAAATATCTAATAACAACTGTACCGTATAGGTCGATGTACTTCACGTAGGCTATGAAAACATTTTTCGCGCCACTTTTTTTCAGAGATCTCCGAAAATTTCTCACCCTCCATGTTTGGTAAACGGTGTTTGGGACATAAATATCTTTTTGTGTCCATGTGTGTGTGTGTGTAAACTGTATGCAAAATTATTAGCCTAAGCTAACAATTAAATTAGTATTACCTTAAGATGACTTCTGCCTATAGTCAGAATGTTAAATCTCACAAAAAACTATTTCAGCGATAACCCTAAAGTTTTCAAGCAGGTTTAAAAAAAAAAAAAAAAAAAGAGAAAAGCCTCATAACGAAATGTACGCTCTGCCATACTCCCTGCACCATAGCGCATATCACATACATAGCACATAAGGCTGTGCTGCCCTCACGTGGACATATATTTCCTTTGAGTAATACTGAACATAAATGAGCATCACAAATTCTTCAGGGAATACAATATAATTTTAAATAAACAAAAAAACTTTTGAAGAAACAAACAAGTGTTCACTGTAAAACACAATAAGTTAGGGTAACTCCAACCATTTGAGGAAACCGATTGCTACAAAACATTTAGGTTCAGAAAAACTAACCCTAATGAGTACAGTGAACTAAATCCATTTGAGTACATGAAGCAATTTGAGCACAGTAAAACTTAATAAAGATAACTCAAACCAACTGAGTACTGTAAAACTCAGTAAGTTAAGGCGACTCAAACCATTTGAGAAAACCGATAGCTACCAACCATTTAAGGTTAAAAACTAATCTTAATGAGTACTGTGAACCTACTCAATTTAAGTTGAAGTAATGAGACATTTAAGCGATTATGTAAGTGTTGATTCAGCAATAATAATGAACACCTGTTAAGCTGAATCACTGAAGAAAAACACAAAAATGCAGCCCATTCAGTCACAGCCTTAAAAGACATAAAGCACATCCAATTTCTATTACTAACCTGCTTGACTTTTAACACTTTCAACACTTTTTAACTTCAGCACTTCTGAGTTCAAAACTCTTTTCAAATGAGTAGAGTTAACTTCCAGTAAATTTTGAGTTAACGACACTCATTTCATTTGAAAAATTTGACTGTTGGGTTTTACAGTGTATGTTAAAACTAAAATATCACAATTACAAATACATGAGCTGCATGAAAACTACTTATGATAAAATAAAAAATAACATTTTACAAACAAAAAAAAAAAAACAAGAAGCATGAGGTATTCATATACAGGAGGTTTTATTCAACATTTTGTGTATAAACATAGGCCGCAAATGCCTTCCAAACGTTTCAGTCTGCAGAATTCATTATCTATTTGTACAGTCCTATAACCAGAACATTTAGATATTAGCAAGAATAAATAGTGACAAAAACCTTAAGAGGAAAAGGGGAGAGCATCCAAAGCCTTTCCCAGTGGCTGTCCAGCATGTCTTCATGTGTTTAAAGGTAAGATCTCAACATAAATCATCAGAACATTACAAATGGATGACACAGACGGACTCCTGCAGTGCCAATCACTTCAAAACTGTTAATAAATCCCTCAAAGTTTTCAGAAAGTGTGATGAATCTGTTTGTAGACGTTGTCTCTCACATTGTGTGATACAATCGCATTACGTATCTAAGAAATGTCATCACATTAGTCTTTAAACTATGTGCAGTGCAAAGAAATCCTTTCTCGGATACCATGAACTGGAGCATATATCCAATATTCCTAACCCAGTAACATTCAAAAATCTAAGTAAGCACATTAAATAAGTAATAAACACAACAGGAATGCTTTGAATCACCTAATGCCTTCTGACAGCACTAGATCACAGTTTATGTCAAGAGTTACATAAAAGAAAAGCAGGGACATGTCTAGAAGAAGAAGAAGAAGAAACCCACATGTGAGGCTGAATTCAGTTCGGACAGGTGCACAATACAGAAAATGTACATTGAATGTCAACAATCAGGACAGAAGAGATGAATAGTTTTCGATAATGGGAACGCACAATGTTAACATATTGACAGAAATTCCTTTTCAGTTACTTCACCCCTTTTTTGTATATATGTGTATATATATATATATATATATATATATATATATATATATATATATATATATATATATATGAATGAAAAAATCCTTCAACAGTAGCCACAATTAGTTTGAACGTAAAAGCACACAAATAACACTCATCAAACTTAAAAAAAAACTTTTTAAAAAATAAAACATGCCTGCATGTTAAATTAAGTAACTAAAGCACCTTTAACTGAAATAATAAAATTAAGAGCATTCATTTTAACTGCTATAATCAACACTATAAAGACAGAATACCTGTACTTTTCCTGTACTGCATCATTCTCTGTTTATTAAACGTTCCTTCATGAAACCATCTGACAGGACAGTTTGTGCTATATACAGCGTTGTTTTCTTACCTTGATGTCTGACGATGAGACAGAGGCACTGCTGTATAGTTGTGAGCCAGACATAAACCACAGTGTGCTGTGAAGCTAGCGAGAGAGCGCTAATGTGATCGAAATGCTAAAAAAAAGCTCTCCGTTTGGTCATCTCTCAAAACTAGATATACGGCAGGGAAAACGCTAACATTGTGTGCTATCCTCTGAACATCTTCAAACGATGAGTCAAAAAGACTGTAAAAATAAGAGGATATGTAAGAAATCTACAGTACTTCATAACACGGATAAGTCAGCGACAAACGTAGAAGTTCTTTGAAAAAAAGACACTGATGTTGCTATTCGCCCCCAAATAAATAATCATAATTATTCTATGTGTGTTGCTTAGAAAAAATCAGAATAACAAAAAATATATTGACCCTTTTGGTTTAGAACGTTTACCTCTCTCTTCAAATATGAGTGACAAATATGATCTAAACTACGAAAGTATAATGAGACATGTTTTTGATGAATCCTATTGCTTGTTAGAGAGCCAAAATAAAAGAGTGAGATTTGTACTTGATTGTTTCTTGATGTTAGAATCACATCAACACGGATGATAACTGAAACGAACACCATCTTTCACACAAAAATCCTATTAAATCAAGTCTTTTAAATGACTGACAAACACTAAAAAGAAGCTACCCATTTGACTTTTACAGAGTCTGCAATAAGAACTATGTTGAACTGCAATGTAATTATCTATGTCACAAAAGGATCCAAAACCTGAAGTATGATACTGAACTGTAGCAGCGCAGCAAAGGCGTCGTTACCAGTGGGGACTGACGAAAAAAGGACAAACGTAAAAAAGTCAGAAAAGACAGAATTCACTGTCACCAGCAGATATGAATAACTGTTACATGCTCAGAAACGAAGAGCAAAGGTGCTGAATGGACAGTGATGTTCAGAGAAACATAGGCGGTTTATATGGAGGGTTCAGTAATATTCAAGATGTGCTCCCAGTAAGTAGAGTTCTTCAAGGATAAAAAGGACTGTGGTGCCCTCTAGTGGCGACAGCTAGAAAATGCGCGAAAAGGCGAAGCACTCCTGCTTTTGCCCAGTAGGAGTCGCTCTTGTGCATTCCAGTGTCCCTTATGTCCAATAGATGGACATGCCCGCCTACTCGCTTTCTGTCCCATTGGTGTGAGACTTACATTGAGAATAAGCACTCCTTTAGACCTCTGTGGAAAACAGGATACTTTGTCTCTTACTGTCTGGGGTCGGGATGGTCTCCAGCTGAAGGAAATACAGCAAAACTTGCACCTGCAGAATAAAAAAGATGGAATTATATATATGTCTGAAAACATGTATTTGTGTATGTTTTATATCATTTTACCATTGCAGGGGGGCTGGGGTAAATCAACCAAAAATTACAATTTTGTCCTAATTTAATCAGCGTTGTCTTGTTTCAACATTTTTGTTGAACATAAATGAAGATATTTTGAAGAAAGTTGAATACCTGTAACCGTTTACTTTCATAACAATTGTTTTTTATTCTATGGATGTCAATAGTTACAGGTTCACAACATTCTTCAAAATATCTTATTTTGTTCTCAACAGAACAAACGAACAAAACAACTCAAACTGATTCAGAACAAGTCAAGGGTAAATATTATTTTATTTTTGGGTGAACTTTCCCTGTAAATTATTTTCTGTCGTCCACAGAGTTTAAACTCTAAATATTAGGGCTGGGTATTGATTTAGATGTCCTGATTCGATTTGATTCGTCATTTGATTTTGAATTTCATTCAATGAACTTTTTAATACAAAAAATAGATCAAAGATTTAATACAAATGCTACTGAAATTTCTACAAATGATGAGTGAACACAAGTGCTTTAGTACAGTAAAACAGAACCCATCTCATGAAAAAAGCAAGTTTTTTTCAGTCAAAGACAGTAGGACCCTCTGTCACTGACACTTTATATAATCTGTTTATCTATAGCTGCATCCAAAATTGCATACTACTCATGTGGGTACTACATTTGAATTTGAACATTACAAAAGTATGTTCTTTATACTATCAATAAAATTTAGATGTACTATGTCCACCATTTATCATTATCACATTTGCCTACCCGCATCAGTTGCATCGCTTCATTCATGAGTTTTCTCCTATGGCATCATTGGATATTGTAGCATCCTTTGGATGCATACAACAGAATCGCTCAGAAAATAGTCCGTCATGCGGGTGCTTCTCACTTACTGTTTTTCAATACTTTGATTTTAGACATGCAACTCAGCTCACTTTTTTTCACAAACTGCATTGTAGAGAATTATGTGATTTCGGATGCATGAATATGTGTGTGTCTACAGTATATGTAGTGTATTAGGCTGTTGTTGCTTTAAGACCTTATACACAAGTAGATTGTCAGATATGCTTTCACGTTAGACTTGACTGACTGTTTACATAAACACTTGGTAAGATGGGCATTTAGACAAATAAGGGTGTATTTGACCATTCAAGTTCCAAAAAGCCACAGTTAATTCAGCTTTTGCATGCTGAAGTATATCTGTCGCCATATATGTTTGCTTGTGTGCAACAGAAAGGCATCTGTCAGTCTTTCATGTTTTTTAATACTCATACATGCCACAGTGTTTTTACTACTCTAATGTGTAAAATCAGTACTGAGCTGTACATATATGTTTACAGATAAACTATATAGAATAATTTCTGCTAACTGACATTCACCTAGCCCTAACATGCTTATTAGAAACACTTAGAAAACTCCTGGAATTAAACAGTTTAAAAATGTTTCTTTTGTTTCTAACCTAATAAAAATGGCCCACTAAGGAAGATTTCTTTATCATTTGATTGTGTGACTAGGTTAGAGCATACCTGTGACATGACTTCCAGAGACCAGCTGTCTCCCATCGTGATAGGCTGTGTGGGGTTGGTGGGGATCTTGCTGTCCTTCTCAGCAGGTCGTAACAGTGTCGGCCCAAACACTGTGGCCAGATTGTGAAGAGACATCTTGTTTACACACTCCTTCTCCGCAATCCTAAATACAAAAATAGAAAGAGCATAAAGAAAAAATCTTCAATAGAAACAAAACATGATAATGTCATGAATATGTTTTCATCCAGAAAATATTACGTTTCTATACATAAATATATGAGGAAAGCTTTTTCTTTGATTATTTTTTCCATAACACAAGCTCAATTATCTGCCAGTGGGGCAAGTAAAATAAACTTACTTCAAACTAAAAAAAATATTTTACTGGCACATTATTTAGCTTGTTTTGAGGGAAAAACTCACTTTATTTTGCCTTAAAATGTCTAAAAACAAGACAATGTTTTACTTGCCTAAAAAAGGCTTCTTGATTTAAGAATTTTTAGTTATTTGAACTAGAAATAAAATAAAGACAAAGATTATTTTTGGAGTGCGTAAGAAGTTTGACCTAGATGTGTTCATAGTAATATTTACACAACTTTGAAACCTGTTGAACCAGTGAAAAATCCAAAGTCATCAGTCTACCTCTTGAGATGATCCAGCAGGAAGAGGAAGGTGACCAGGTTAGGCTCTGGTAGAGACAGCAGCAGATTGAGCATGCAGCTTTCTTTAGCTACACTGTCCGAAAGAGCTACAGAAGGAGCATAATAAAAATTATCCACCATCCAGAAGAAACCCAGAAATGTTTCTTCTAAATTATAAAAAAGATTGACGAACCAATGCCCCCTGCAAAGTTAGGGTAGAGCTCATCAGTGAAGAGGGGCTCAGGAAGCTCTCTGAAGTACAGTTTCAGCGTCCCGGCGATGGCGTTCACATCCATCTCACTCATCATTACCGACACATCTTTATTATCTGTTACAGAGAGAAATCAGCTGTTAAACTGGCTAAACGGACGTGTCTGTTATTGCTCTGGGAGTCTGACGGCCACTCACTGGTGTCAAAGGCAGTCTTGAGTGCCTGGATGTCTGTGGCCACTCCTGAGACACGGTAGATACCCACTTCCTCCATTCCTCTTCTCTCGATTTCCTCTAGACACTGTCTGACGATGTAGGGCACTTTAGAGCGCTCCCGTCTAAGGCGAGAACAAAACCAGCATTATTTTTTCCAAATTAAAATAATTGCTTTCTGTATAAACAAATCTAATTCATTCCTATGATGGCAAATGTGATTTATTTATTTTTGATCTGCAGTATTATATGGTTCTTCAGAAAAATGTTTAATATGTTGATCTGCCTGAAAAGCACTCAATTTCAATCAGGGTATCTGCAGGCTACTAAGAATTATATATAAGACCTTTATAATACCACACAGATAAAATCTATGACACATTTTATAGTACAGAATTTGCAAAAAACCACGCAAAACACCCAATTACCCTCATTAACACTCCTTATCATAAAATTAAAGAGTGAAAAACCTCAAAACACTATTTGAACTGACTAAAATACCTAATAATAATAATAATAACAATAATAATATTAATAATAATAATATTTTGGATGCAGCAGCACTCTGTGGTAAGCCTAATGTTACTGTTGTAGGCAAGACGGAGCAAATCTGAGAAATGTTGAGTGTTTTCTGACAGGTTTCCTCAACCACTTTTTGTTTTTTTATGTTCAGACTTGTAAAACGTTTTTGCACAAAATACACCAAACCTCCAACACACTGCCACTAACAGGTCTTAACCACAGTGCAAAATTAAGCTTGTGTAACTAGTTTTCATTACATTTGCTCTTCTTTACTGGATCGATAACATATTTTAAATCCTTATAACACAGATTAAAGACATCTTAGGACTAATTAAGGCCTTATTGATATACAGTGCTCAATATATAAAAGTACACCACTCACACATCTCTCATTTAAATTAACATTTTCTATAAGAAGCTTTACAATATTGTATTTGTGCATATACATTAGTCAGTACTGATGCCAAATCTGGAGCTTATGATAACAGTCTAAAATAAGTACACCAAAATTTTATTGTTATAGAATTTTTTTAAGAGAAAAATTTAAGAGAAACAAACAAACAAAAAATAGTTAAAATTTTGTGGTTTGTAATTTTTATCTCTCCTAATATTTTGCCATTTTTTCTATTTCTAAAGATGTTCAATGACTAAAATATTATTTTAATGACTATATCTGTTTAATAAATCAGTTTTTTTCAAATGCACCAAAATATATAACTATATTCACTGAGAAATGGATAAAAATATTTATTTTTTAAATGGAGTGTACTCAATTATGCTGAGCACTGTACTATGGAATTTAAGATTTTTGTTCTTTAAGACTTATTAAAGATCCATGATTACCCTGTTAATGGAAAATTAATTTGACATTTTGGACTATAAAATAAAAGACCATTTATTTGTATAAAAAAACATTACAATTAGTTAAAACATGAATGTCTTTTCTGAAAAAAAAATAATGCACAACCTCAGAATAAATATATACATTTCTTACAAAAAAAAACACTACTTTCTACTTTCCCCAAACTTTGAACAATATTGTAAATGCCTTTTCTCGCACACAGATTCAGTTTTTTTCCAAATATTTTTTTATGGAGATGACAGGCTGTGTTCACTGTACCTTTTCATATTATGTAAAAAGTATGTTAATTACCACAATAATGCCTTTCCTTTTCAGCTGTACCAGTATGCCGCTTTGTACTGGCTAAATGTCAACACTTTTATATATTTTACATCGAGAGAAGTGTTATAGACATGTTAGGGTCTGGGCATCTACACTGGTGTTGTCATGTGTTGTCTTTATAGCATTAATTGGTTCTGCCCTTAAACGCATTATGAGGCTCATTAAAAGCAATCCTCATTACTGTCAATCAAATCCGGCCACAAACAACGCCCAAAAAGGGCAAAGTTCAATGAAGCATATAATATTTAACATATTCAAATATTCAAAAAGAGTCAATGAATGCCTATTAACATGTCAAAAATAAATGACAACATTAAAATGTTTGTGCTTTAAGCTTATGTTTGTGAGAAGCACCAAATAATTAGCAAGTGTATGTCTATCTTCATGTCAAATGTTTGTTAACTCACTTTGTTACAGTGGAGATATTTACTCCAAACACGCCCATGGGTTTCCGAGAGGGCATTCTCTTCAAGCTGAACTCCCGACTAGTGAACTTCATAGATATCTTCACCTCAATCTTCAAAAAACAGATGTATATTGAGTAAATTAAGTGCTGGATGACAGGATAACAGAATAGCAATAGATGTAAATACAGTACACTCACCCCATTCATAGGGATAACTGTTCTCTGCCAGTCTTTACCCTGGAGCATTTGAGGATCCAGCTGAAACCATCAAATACAACAATAAATACAGTGGGATTTCAATCACAGGCACAGAACATTAGTTTTGCTGAGATCCTGACTGGTTTCATCCATGTACCACGGATGTTACAAATGTTATTCATAATGCAAGTTCTCCTTATACAGCAGTGTTACACTTCACGGGACACTTTCTATGACCTCTCTAAGCAAACGTGAGACCATCTGGAGTGGGCCAAGTTCAGCGTGTTCCTTTCCCTCATCCTGGCCTAATCTCCATATGGTCTCGTGTAAGGCCTGATCCTGCTCTGCTATCTAATCTCATCATCTCAGTCATTACAACCTGTCTGTCAACGGGGCAGAGAGAGAGAGGAAAGAGTGAGAACTGGGGCTTTGCCCGGCCAAACACCAGTGCCAGCTAAGGCTCTCAGAGCTTTACTGCCGTACAAAGACAAATCCACACACACACACACACACACACACACACACACACACACACACACACACACACACACACACACACACACACACACACACACACACACACACACACACACACACACAGCAAAATAATTATTTATTACTATTATTATACTATTTGTATTTGAAGTAAATTGTGACACAAATGCCAATAATTAAAAGCTGTGGTATAACCTCAAATGCAGTCAAATATAAAAACAGTGACATATACCTTAATGAAGAATAAAATAAGAATAATATTTTTTATTACTATCAATGCTTAAATAAAATTATTTCTTTATGTTATGGCTTGAAAAATAATTGTTTTAATTGTTATCACAATTATTTAGCAAACAGTTGTAGACAGTAGTAAAATATGCAGTGACTGATATTCCCACTTCCAAGATAATCACATTTTATTACATTTTATTTTAAATAATTGAATAGATCACTAAAGTAATAAATAAATAAATAAATAAATACAATTTCAGATAGATATAAGATAGATAAATATAAAAAAGTTTAGAAATGTTATTATTTGACAACATGCCAACCTGCTGGTCATTTCCATGATAACCAACATAAACTTTTTTAAACAAACAAACAAACAAATAACAAAATAAAATTTTATATAGATATAAAAAGTTATAAGTTATATACAATATTCTTTGGAAATGTTAAAATATTTTTGATAAAGTACATGGCAACCTGCTGGTCATTTCCAGGATAAGCAAAATTAAACAATATTTTATTTAAATTAACAAACAAACAAAACAATCAAATAAATACATACAATTTAAGATAGATATAAGAAAGATATTTAAAAAAAAGTTTGGAAATGTTAAAATATTTTTTGATAAAGTACAACATGCCACGTTGCTGGTAATTTCCAAGATAACCTAAATAAACTATATTTAAAATAAATAAATAAATTTTTTTATTAAAGTAAATTTAAAATAAAATAAATATAAATAAAAATATATTTTATTAAAAATAAAATAAATATAAAAAGTTATAAGATATATAATATTCTTTGGAAACGTTAAAATATTTTAAATGAAGTACGACATGGCAACCTGCTGGTTATTTCCAGGATAAACAAACCAAACCAAAATAAAACCAAAATAAACCATTTTTAAAATAAATAAACTAATTAATTAATTAATTAATTAATAAACACAATTTCAGATAGATATACAAAGATATAAGATATTTATTATTTTAAAATTTATTTTAAACATTAAAATAATTTGCAAAATTACCAGGATAAGCAAAAAATAAACTTTATTTTAAACAAATTAACAAATATATGAATAATGAAATAACAATGTTTAGCTGCATATTATTTACATGTATATTAAATTATAGCAAGGCACCTTGCTGTCAATGGTTAAACATTTACTCATACAATATACATAGAATGCTGTTCCCTTTCCACATAAACAACAATCACATGTTTTCCCCATCACTTTACCTTTCGTCTGTACAAGACATTTTGCACACGGCCCCATAATCTTGTCCCTTTGCCTGCTGGTGTATTTAGTAAAGAATTATGAATCTCCACATCCTCCACCAGTCCCACATCACAGTGCACATTAGGTGGAGAACAGCTCTTGCACACCACACCCAGTCCTAGTACTTCAACTTCACTCATCATCTTCCTCTCTACAACTCTGCAAAAGCTGACCACAGATCTTCAGCTGAAACTAGAAATTCCTTGAGAAGCGGTGTGATATGGATGTTATGCATCCTTGAGTTACCGTACTGTCCCGTATATCCTCAAAAAATCAGATGTTGTCCTCAGTTTGATTAATCAGAAGATTCTCTATACCAAATCTTCAACACCAAGCAGCTCTTTTAACAATAACAAATCCAAAGTCCATGGCACGTGTTGATTTACAAAGATCCATTTATGCAGTGTAATGCAAATGCTGTCATTAATGATCCACCCAGTGCATCAAAAAATCTTTATAGGGAAAGATTCGTTTTCTCTCCTATTTTACTCTTTGCAGTCTGTACACTGTTTCTTTGTGTAAATCTACAGAACTTTCTCCCTCTGCACTTCCAGGTTGTAATAGATGATCCCTTGATTTACCTTAGTCTGAGTAAGCTGCTCTGCCCCGACCCATAAACTCCATCCAGAGCCACTAACATCCACTGCACCAATCAGAGCATGCCTTAAAGCTTTTATTTTGAGTAAAGATAACTAAGTAGAAATAAATAAATAAATAAACTATATTTTAAAATATAAAATATATATGTAAAATAGAAAGAAAGAAAGAAAGAAAGAAAGAAAGAAAGAAAGAAAGAAAGAAAGAAAGAAAGAAAGAAAGAAAGAAAGAAAGAAAGAAAGGAAGGAAGAAGCATGTCCTAAAGCATTAAAGTTGGCTCAGCTCAGTTGGCGTTTCTGTGTGGAGTTTGCATGTTCTCCCTGCGTTCGCGTGGGTTTCCTCCAGGTGCTCCGGTTTCCCCCACAGTCCAAAGACATGCGGTAAAGGTGAATTCGGTAGGCTAAATTGTCCGTAGTGTAGGTGTGTGTGTGTGATTGTGTGTGTGGATGTTTCCCAGAGATGGGTTGCGGCTGGCAGGGCGTCTGCTGCGTAAAAACTTGCTGGATAAGTTGGCGGTTCATTCCGCTGTGGCGACTCCGGATTAATAAAGGGACTAAGCCGACAAGAAAATGAATTAATGAATAGAAAGGAAAATAAAGAAGTGTGCTTTATTCTGAGTAACTATGTGAAAAATTCAATTAATAAATAAATAAAACACAGGTAAAATAAAAAAGAAAGAAAGAAGGAAAGAAGCATGCCTTAAGGCCCAATCCCAATTCTACCCCTTTGCCCTTCCCCTTACCCCTACCCTTTGTTTTGCGTGTTCACGTCAAGAGGTGGGGTCGTCCCAATTCTCTTTAGCTTGAAGGCGAAGGGCTAAGGGGAAGGGGTGAATAGCCCTTCGAATTAAGTTTTTTCAGGACCACACTCGGAACCAAGAGGTAAAAAAATATCCCAGAATACACCAGCCACATCTGCAGCATAGCTGAACCCGGAAGTTTAAGAAGATCCACAAATTAGTATTTTTTGTCATTATTATGAATTTTTATGGTAAACATACATATGTTTTAACATTTTCATAACCGTGTTTGTGTTTTACGGTCATGCTTTAAAAAAACGCTAAAAAACCTCCAATAAGTTTCATGATCTAAAATCCATAATCATAACTCCTGCATAGCAGTCCCACAACATTCTGACACTCGATGCCACTCGAATACCGAATACAAAAATAGAATTGAGATTGGGCCTAAAGCTTTATTCTGAGTAACTTAGTAAAAATTAATAAATAAATAAAATATGAGTAAAATAGAAAGGAAAAAGAAAGAAGCATGCCTTAAAGCTTTATTCTGAGTAACTTAGTGAAAAATAAATAAATAAATAAATAAGTAAATAAATAAATAAAATATAAGTAAAAGAAAGAAGAAAGAAAGAAAGAAAGAAAGAAGCATGCCTTAAAGCTTCATTCTGAATAACTTAAATAAAGTAAAAATAGAAAAGAAAAAATAAAGTAAAAATAAAGAAAATATATTAAAAAGAAAGAAAGAAAGAAAGACAATATTTTTGCTAAATTATAGATAAAAAATATATCATATAAAGTAAATAAAGCAATAAAGTATAATCTAAAAATAGTATAATAAAAATTGGGAGACAAATTAATGGAATATCTCAACTGATTAAAACACGCTTTGCTGTATTCTGTATTATATACATTTTAAAACAATAAACATGAAAAAATGTAGTAGCAGTCAACTACCAAACTGAAAATAGAATTGAAATAAACATTAATTGAAAGTAACTTTGTTCGGTCAAATATTGGTTTGCAATCTAAGTATTATTATATTGCCCTTGTTCAGTGTAAATTATGCAGCGTGTGTGTCTTGTGTGTGAGAGCTGCATATCACAACAGAGCTTATTAATATCTATGACCAACCCAAATATGGTCAATATGGACCTTCTGATTCTACGGGTATTATATGGAGTTATAAATGAGCATTTAAAACCATTTCTGAAGATTGTTTTAACTTGTCTAAGTCACATACCCACTATGTAGATATCAGAACAATTTAACTTATTGAACCAATGCAGTATATGACACATTAGTGTAAAACTAACAACCATTTAAAATGATGTCTTGAAGTCTATCTTTTGCATTTCATATTGTGCGAGAGCAGAGTAGCTTTATTTTGATGGACAACTATTCTTGACAGATCATGACAGATCACTACACAATGCACTTTATAGGAGAAAAAAGTAAAGCAGTTAACAATGATTACCAAACAAAGTCATGCAATTTAAAAAAAAAAATTGGGAAAAACTCCCAGCTGACTCACAGGTTTCCTTGTCTACAAACATGCCTAAGAACTACAGAGGGATCACAACAAGTCTCCTAATCCCTCCACCTTCCCCCATGATACACCAGCTCACACTTTCAACCGACTGCATCCAAACCTTGACTTTACTAGCAATCATTTGTACAGCAGAAGAATGTTGCGCTCTTTGTTTGACCCCCACAGACCTCTCTGAGGACGGGATTGATAGGTCAGCTGATCTGACGTTATTTTGAATGTGACATTTTTAGACAGGACACATGAATTATGGATGATTTGATGCCTTAAAAGCCAGGGCAGGGCGAATAACACCCTACCTATTAAAAAGCAGATTAAATGTCTGGAGTATAAAGGCCAGTTCCCATCTGGGATGGTGTGTCTCGTAAGAGCAGATATACCTTTGACCGGACACACACTGACAGTCCAGATGGTTCATGAACAGTTCATGTGAGGGCCAAGCAAATCTATTCCCACACCTTACAAATACCTTTTAAACGGCATAGCAATGTGACAAACTGAACAGGTTGATTACAAATTAAATAATAAATAAATCAATAAAAAAAAAAAAAAACTTGTAAACATACTAGAGGTAGTTGACCACACTGGTGTTGACAGATGACTAGTCCTCCTATCCTAACTCAATTCCACCCACTAGTGTCACAAGTTTATATATATATATATATTTTAAAATACATTTAGATTTTTTTTTATGAATATAAATAGAAAATAAAATGTAAAAAATGTCAAAAAAAGAAATTCAAAGAAATTCAAAGAAAACCACTTGACAATGCTTCGCTTGATTTAATGGATTTATTAAATATATATATTTTTTAAAAATTTAATACTATAATTTATTTCAATAAAGGTCTGATGAAATTTCTTCCAAATTTCAAGTAAACAGTCATTTAAAAAAATGAGTTATTGTACATTATTATTATCTAATAATTAGCATAAATGCATCTGAAAAAATGATTTAAATCACAATGCTTTTATTTTAAATTTGAAAGAAATGTCATAACTACTTCAAAGAATAAAACAAAAATATTTCTCATTCAAAACATAACTCTAAACTGTAAATCGTGAGAAACTTTGTTAAATGCAAGCTGAAATAATATAAACATAAATATTCAATAAAATATAATTCAAATGACTAAAACTGAAATCCAATCAATCTAAAAAGAAACATAAAAATGACGGAAGCACATAAAATGAACTAATTAAACAACAATTGCAATTTTAAAAAAGTAAACAAATGTCTTTTAACAAATTCCTTCATTTATTTTCCTTCATCTTAGTCCCTTTATTATTCAGGGGTTGCCACAGCAGAATGAACCGCCAACTTATCCAGCATATGTTTTGCACAGCAGGAGCCCATCCAGCTGCAACCCAGTACTGAGAAACATCCATACACGTTCATTTACAGCACAGGGAGAACATGCAAACTCCATTCCAGAAATGCCAACTGACCCAGTTGGGACTCAAACCAGCAACCTTCTTGCTGTGAGGTGACAGTGCTAACCACTGAGCCACTGTGTTGCCCTTTTTAACAAATAACACAGAAAAAAAAAATTAAAGTATTAAAAAATCATACCGGCATTTGTCCTTTGCCCATAATTCTGTCCGTGCTCTCTCCATCCTCCTTATTCACCTTGGCTTTGTTGTAGCTTTTCTCGTAACAAAGTAGCCGCAATGTATGAGAGCCTTCCAACTCAATCTCAAACTCCTGAAGCAGAAACAATACAGTTTTTACATATAAAAAACCAGACATAACCACATTTGAGGGGAACTAATTTACATGTACATTTTTCCTCAATTTCTGTTTAACAGAAAGAAGAGTTATTTTAAAACATTTCTAAACATAAGAGGTTTAATAACTAATAATAACAGATTTTTTTATCTTTGCCTTGCTGACAGTACATAATATTTGACTAGATATTTTTCAAATTACTAGTATTCAGCTTAAAGTGACATTTAAAGGTTTAACCAGATTAATTAGGCAAGTTATGGTAATTAGGCAAGTCACTGTATAATGATGGTTTGTTCTGTAGACCAGGGGTTCCCAAACTTTTCAACGTGCGACCCCCAAAAATACAATGCCAGTGACTGGCGACCCCAATATCCTCTGAGGTAGTTATAAATATATAAACCCTAGACACTGGCACACACATACCAATAGGCCCAAGTTTATTCATTATTTAATTTTGAAGAATGCCACTCGGAGACCATCCTCCATGTTCAGTTGTGGCCTGTATTTATTTTTGATATACAGTACATGAGTACAGTAAAGGTGTTAGAAGTTTAACATGGTGCCATAAAATCAATATGCTGTGTCTTTAATATAACGTATTCACCCCAAAGGCTGCATAAAATTAACTATTTTAATTAACCACTATAACAATTAATTACTTTTAGTATCTTCTGTGGGTTATGGATGAAATATCATAATTCTAATAATTGAATAAAATGCATTCAATTTTTGGAAATCACCAAGTCACCCCCACGTTTTAATATCTTAAAAAAGATATAAAATAAATTAAAATTAAAATTAAAAACTGCTTTTATTCTAGCCAAAATAAAAAAATAAGACTTTCTCCATAAGAAAAATATTATAGTAAATACTGTGAAAAAATCCGTGCTTTGTTAAACATAATTTGGGAAATATTTGAACAAGAAAAAAAAAACTCACAGGAGGGCTAATCATTCTAACTTCAACTATATATTAACTGTACACTGATCACCAGATTTAACACCTATATGGCTCATTATTCTTGCTTTCATTTTCCCCTCTTTACTCTGGGTGATGGTAATTGCTCTTAATTAGAATAATAACATTTGTCCAGAAGGCCTTATATTCCACATGGCCTCACTTATGCTGTTCTTAATTAAGAATGAATGCCCCATGAGCATTTCGGTAGACTGGTCTTTTCGTATGAGTGGTGTATAAACAGGCATGGACACATGGGATTTACCTCATTCCACTTGGGTTCTGTGGTGTATCTGTACACTCTTGTTTTGGCTTTATTCACAAAGATGCCGAAAGAGTCCACCTCTAATGTGCAATACAGATCTGAAGTAAAGGAGATGCAGATGCGGACTGTTAACATATAGATGCGGACTAATGTGGTAGTAGGAAAGGCTAAGCAAATGCATACATGAGAATTGATCAGCAAAGAGACTGAAAGAAACACACTTACTTAAGCTCTGTTTAAGTCCAGAGGCAGAATGGACGATTACATTCAGGAATCCATACAGTCCAGTAGATTCATCCTCTGAAAGTATAGGAATAATGTAGACTTTGCAAAAGATCTCAAAAATTTTTAATACATGAAGTAAAAATTAAAAGTACAGGAAATATATATACACACTAGGGTCGAAAAATGTTTTATTGATAAGGTTTGATAACATTTCTTCTATATTTGTTTTTTAATTCATTCAACCATTTATTGATGTATTTTTTCTTTCATTTATGTATTCAGGTATTCATTCATCCATTCGTGTATTTGTTCATTCATGCATTTATTCATTTACACATTCATTCATGTATTCATTCATTAATTCATTTATTTATGTATTTATTCATTCATTTACTAATTCATTCATTTATTTATGCATTTACTCATTCATGTATTAATTAATTCATTCATTAATGTAATCATTCATTTATGTATTTATTGATTCATTGATGGATTTATTTGTACATTCACTCATGTATGTATTCATTCATTCATTTATGTATTTATTAGTTTATGCATTTATACATTTATTGACTTATTTATGTATTCATTTATTCATTCAATCAATTATTCATCAATTATTCATACATTAATTCATTAATTTATGTATCCGTTCATTTATTCATTTACGTTTTTATTCATTCATTGATTTATTGATGTATTTATTCATACATTAATTTATGCATTCATTCATTCATTCATTCATTTATTCATTCATTCATGTGTTTATTCATTTATTGATTTATTGATGTATTTATTTATGCATTAATTCATTCATGTATTCATTACTTCATTCATTAATTTATTTTTGTATTAATATATATTCGTACATTAATTCAATAATTTATGTATATGTTCATTCATTCATTTATTCATTCATTCATTCATTCATTCATTTATATATTTATTCATACATTAATTCATTAATTTATGTATCCGGTCATTTATTCATTTACGTATTTATTTATTCATTGATTTATTAATGTATTTATTCATACATTAATTTATTAATTCATTAATTAATTCATGTATTTATTGATTTATTGATTTATTGATGTATTTGTTTATGCATTAATTCATTCATTTATTAATATATATTCATAAATTAATTCATTAATTTATGTATTCATTCATTCATTGATGTGTTTATTCAAACATTAATTCATTAATTTATGTATTCATTCATACATTCATTCATTCATTTACATATTAATTTATACATTAATTCATTCATTTATGCATTCTTTTATTCATTCATTCATATATTTATTCATTCGTTGATTTACTGATTAATTTATTCGTACATTAAATAATTTATTTATGTATTCATTCTTTCATTAGTTAATTCATTTATTTAGTTTATGAAAATATTTTTTTTCCTTCCAAATGTTGCTTTCTAAACTTTTCAGAAGTTAAAACATAAATTGGTCATGTATTGTCTAAAAATGAAAATAAAACATATCTGAAAACACATGACCTTTTTCTTGTGTTGACTAAATGTCATTTCATGTTCTAAATTTAGATAAAATGTCATCAGTAGTTTGCAAAACAAAACATTTTTTTGCCTCGCTGTGTTTTTATATAAAGTTAAAAAATAATAAAAAGTGAAATATAATAAAATAATTTTACCTGTGTTCTTTGTACTTTTGAATAGAAATACTTACATTTCTTAAATAGAATAATATAAGATTAATAAGCCTGTATTATTATTGTCATAATTATTATTCATTCATTCATTCGTGTTCTTTTCGGCTTAGCTCCTTTATTAATTTGGGGTTGCCACAGTAGAATGAACCACCAACTTATCCAGCAAATGTTTTATGCAGAATTCCCCTTCCAGCTGAAACCCATCACTGGGAAACATTGATTATTATTGTTTATATTATTTGGTTTGTCACCTAAAATGCTAAAATAACGCACACTATAGCCTGCACCATTTAATCAAAGCGTAAAGTGTTTTGAGATAATGTAATGTAATCATCTTTTTACCCTCTTTATTGACAGTGAGAGGCAACTGATGGACCGTCTGGAGTTTGACACAAGAGTTGGTGAGCATCTGAAGCTCCATGGATGACAAGTTGAAGGTCTTAAAGCCTGGAAAATAAGCATGTTTTCAAATAAAAACAAAAAAAACAAAACATCACCTCTACTATACACCTCTAGATCTACTGTTGATTTCAGTGACTGATCCACTTACATTTCTTCTGCTGTTCTCGGATCACTTCCTTCCACTCTGCACGCTCGTAGTCCGATGAGATCAGAAACATGTAGCTCTGAAATCCATAAGCCACACGGAATGTGAGCATGAGCAGGAACGCTAAGAAGAGCATGGATGAAAATCAGATAGGACAGAAAGGCTGTGAATCACTGGCTCTTACCTTCCCGTTGCGGTTGTGGACTCTAAGGGGCATGTTGGGAGAGTTCAACAGAAACAGAGATTCCTGTTCTGACAGTTTCTTTTTCAGCCTCTCCATTACTTTTGACCCTTTGTTGGCTCTCTGTTGAGGTTGAAAGCAAAAAGGTGTAAAACCAAGTAAGAGCTCTCATATATGTTTAAATGGACACACACACACACACACACACACACACACACACACACACACACACACATATTCTTTTTTATTTCTATTCATTCCAAGACCGTTAGATTAATAATGTGGCTAAAATCTAATGTACCCTCTCTCTCTGGATCTCACTCCTCAGGGAAGAGATCTTGATTTTAATGGCATCCAGCTCTTCATCAGGGGCTTGTGGGATTGGCAGGGGCTCGGACTCCTCTGCTGTTTGGAAAGTGAGGTCCGAGAGAGGAATGTACCACTTAGAATCGTATTGCTGGCTCTTCCTGTACACACACAGACAGCCGCGAGCAATAATTTAATATCCAGGCAAAAATACATCCTTAAATCTGATTATTGAGCATTGATGTTGGTGCAGACTGAACCCAGAGTCAGGATGTTAAACTTGATATTTGAAAATAATACAAACGTGTCTGATTCAATAACACCAAAGTGCTCCATTGTTTATAAATAAGATGAAGACATTAGACCAGGGATCACCAAACTTGTTCCTGGAGGGCCGGTGTCCTGCAAATTTTAGCTCCAACCCTAATCAAACACACCTGAACTAGTTAATCTAGGTCTTACTAGGTATACTTGTAACACCTAGGCAGGTGTGTTGAGGCAAGTTGGAGCTAAACACTGCAGGGACATCGGCCCTCAAGGACCGAGATTGGTGACCCCTGCATTTGACAAAAAGAAGGGAAGCGGGCAATGATGAAGAAGACTTGAGATGGCAGAAACGAGGAGATTTTTCCATACCCTCCAATCAGTTTCTTCAGTTTGGCACAGAGCAGGAGGTCAGTGAAGAGAAAAACATGGCGTAGTTTTCGAGCTCCTTCGACAAGTTCCACCATAAAGCCATCCTTCAACAGCTGACGGTTCTGTCAAACAAGACACAATGTAGGGTTATTACGGTTTACTTAAACTAAATAACACAAAATGGAAAAAACAAAACATTTGTATTATTTAAAATGAAATAAAAACGTACAAAATTCTTATAAATACAAATTTTGCCAGTTTCTTGCCAAGAAAGATTTGCCACAAACTGTGTATTTGCAGCAGCAGCAATAATAATAATAAAATAATAATAATAATAATAACAACAATAATAATATTATAAAAAAGTTTTTATATTGTAATTATTATTATTGATGTTATTCTGTAATGAGAAGTTGATGCTGACAAGGAAGGTGCGGATCTAAATGCAGGGTTTATTATACAGAGAATGGTCAGGCAAGCAACTGTCAACACAGGAGCAAACAGATGTTTACAGGCAATCCCAGTCGTGGTTATTTAAGTATAACCACCAGTATAACAAGGCTCAGCCATGTAATCAGTTCATGAGTAGCTCCCAGCCGTGAGTGTGTGAAATCAACAGAATGAAGAACAGGTGCATGTGAGCGGTGCATGACTGGAACTTGTAGCCCATATACTGGCGGATTTGTAGTTTTTTAGTGAACTGTGTGTTTACCAGCGATCTGCAGCTGCTATCGTTTGCTGGTGATCATTTTCTTTTTGGCTTAGTCCTTTTATTAATCAGGGGTCACCACAGTGGAATGAACTGCAAACTTATCCAGAATATGTTTTACATAGGGGATGATCTTCCAGCCGCAATTGTTGTTATATCATCTACAAAATTATATATGATAAAATAATTACATAAATTAAATAAATTATTATATTTTTTATAGGGATGGGCAAATTATTAATTCATTTTTTTTTTCGGCTTATACCCTTTATTTATCCGGGGTCGCCACAGCGGAATGAACAGCCAATTTATCCAGAAAGTTTTTTACGCAGCGGATGCCCTTTCAGCCGCAACCAATCTCTGGGAAACATCCACACACACTCATACACTACAGACAATTTAGCCTACGCAATTCGCTTGTACCGCATGTCTTTGGACTGTGGGGGAAACCAGAGTAGAAACGCTAATTGACCCAGCCAAGGCTCGAACCAGCGACTTTTTTGCTCTGAGGCGACATTTTTCCAGGTCAATTTTTGTTATTACTTTCCCTATCGCGCCTAAAGACATGTGACCCTGCTCCGTTACATTATTCCATCAGCATGTTGAGCATGGACAAATTAAACTAAGACAACTGAGCAACAGGAGCAGCTTATACCAAAGAAAAATTCATGTTTACAGTACAAAAATTGTCAGCATTAATTAAATAGATTGATAAATTATAAATGAATAAATACAAAAATAAATAAAATAATTGTTAATTAATCGTAATTGAGTTAAAATGCACTTAATTGAGATTTTGATTTTACTCCAAATCGCCCAGCCCTAATTTTATGGAATTAAAATATATAATTTACAAAATTAATACCATTTACAACAGATTAACATAAAAAAAATTTTATGTTAATCTGTTTTTATGTTAATCTATTCTTAATTGTAAAATAACACTGAAACAATGTAGGCAAATGTCATGAAAAATTAATTATAATATTAAGATATTTGTCTATAAATCTTTAAAATTTTATTTCAAACAAAAAAATCTACGTCACCTCTAAGTTTTTTTTAAAATGGTGACCTGAAATGCCCTCAAGCTGGAAAGGTTATGTTTCTCTATATTTGGCAAACTGAAGATGTATGATAAAATATAGTGCCCCTTCCTTACATATACATACATAGATATTTAAACAGGGCCTCTGGGATTTTTTTTTTTTTTTTTTTGCCTTTTTACATCATTCATTGCTGCATAACTACTGTATTGTTTGAAAATGGTTTTGGTTGGGGGAATTAAGATGGTGTAATAATACTTGAAACATTATGCTAACAAATATGCATGTTGTACACTACTTAGTGTTATGTTTTCACAAAAAGTTCTATAAATAAAATAAAAACAAATGTAGTAAACCTGGTTTAACATTTTTAAAACTGAAAATTTTGACTTGTGATGGCGAAGCTCAATTTTCAGTGTTAGAAATTATTCTAATAAGTTAATTTGTTTTTCAACAAAGAGAAAAATGTCTAGTTATTAGTGTGAAGGAACATAATGCCATGCTAATGTGCTGTCAAATACAACCCAACAATTCTGTTTTGTTTTCTTAAGACAAGCCACTAGGAGGCAGCCTCACCCTGCTTCCAAACACAAAAGCACATAAACTCTCAAAAAGGAGCAGCGAGGTTGGTTTTGATGAGTCTTTGTGTTTATGAATTAAGAAAATTGGGACAACATTATAAAACCAGTCCCTCCTGTTCACAGATCATATGCTAGGTGATCATCCCGTGAGCATAATCAGAGAAAAAGGCACACATATAAGCAATATACAGACCCCCGGCCACATGTCACGCATCAGTGCTCTCACAGCAACACGTCATCTCTGCAGTGGCGAAACAAAAGATGATATCACAAGCTTCTCATCCAATGAGACGCTCAAACCTGGCTCTGCTCACCTTCGCATTCGGAGACTCATTTTGATGCAATGTCCCTTCTGTTAAGTCACACAATTTTGTATCACTGGACGCTTGAGTGCATTTCCCAGAACTGTGTGAGTGTGCTAGTTTTTATTTCCCAGTGGGGACTTCAACCTGAATGCCCACAGACTTGAGTCACCACAGGGAGCAAAATTGAGGTACTCATGGGTAAACATCCTTATAAATCACACAGAAATATTTTGAAAATGTAGATTGTTTCCTGTGAGTCTCTGTGTGTGTGTGTGTGTGTGTGTGTGTGTGTGTGTGTGTGTGTGTGTGTGTGTGTGTGTGTATGTGTGTGTGTGTGTGTGTGTGTGTGTGTGTTGGCATATGTGGTTTATGGAACCAATTTTCAGGTTTACCCACCAGCATTATGAGACCATTTAGTTTATGAGACCATTTTTGGTGGTCTCATAAACTAAAAATTTAAGTTGATATTAAAAATGGTTTAAATGATGATTATTCATTACAATGACCTAAATGATAATTATAAGACTTGTTTCAAAAGTTCACATTGTTATTTGGTTATTATTACACTTGGTGTGCTTTTTATGACCTTTACAAATATGGTCTTGTAAACCATGATGTGTATGTGTGATCTTTGAACAGCGCCTCTGTAGGCGGAACTTGGTACTGCACTTCTATACACACTCGCGCCAAATCTTACACAATTTCGCGCCATACATTCAATCGCGGGAAAACGTCCCTCATGAAGACTGTGGACGTGACAGTCGCGCTTCAAGCTGTGAAACTCACATCAAACAAGTAAGTCATTTGTTTTTAATACTTTGTACATTATTTATTATTATATGTACTGTATTATTCCACTTGTTAATCAAAATAGCAAGTTTATTTATATATTTATATGCGGCGCGTACTGTTTTAGACAATAATAATTAGTGACTGGGAACAGAAGATGAGAACAAATAAACGTTAGATATATGTGTTTGTAATGGCAGTATCAGACGTAAGTTAGTTCTTCAAAATGTGTATTTGCTAATAATAGCACGCGCTCGGCCTGTATCTGGCTCGGAAGCGCCGGTGTCGATTTAACCCAGAACCGGGCAGAGCTCACTCCTCCGCGGTTAACAATTCGCCGTCTGATTCCATGAGATGTAACGTTATAATAGATGCACTATGTAATTTGTGATTTTTTTTCTACACATACTTTTATGTGAGAAGCAATGACCATTCGAATATGGTATAAATAACATGGTAACAAGGTATATTAAACATAAATATGACGTAGAAACAATTTACTAAACTTGAATTATTAAGCATGATTGAACAAAATGTTTGAATTTAGTAATGTAAATGTGTGGTTTTATTTTTTCTAATGTTTTTTTGTGATAAACTTGTGTTCAGTTAAACTGTACATTTGAATAAATGAACTTTTATTATGAAAAGAGGTTAACTAACCCTAGTTAAATAACTTTATTTGATCAAATTGTCAAAATAGTGCACTACAAACTTATGTTTTGTTAAATGGTTTGAAATGTGATAACTGTATTATGAAATTTGATAACTATATTACTATTTTGTTCTGTTTTGGTCTTCTTTAGAGAATTTTACACTACGTCACATATATTAATACTGCTTTGCATATGTGGTATTGTATTGATATTATAAACTGTGAAGTTTAACCTTATATAATATTTTAACAGTGAATGAATGGTGGTAAGAGTCAAAGCAGAGAATTAAATCCTTTAAAAGATGCTGCTCATCATGTGAGGTTGGGGAAGGATAAAGACATGCTTACGTGGAGGTACATCAGTGACATCAAAGGTACCAAAGTTTTGTACATGTTTTTTTTTACTGCAGGTAGTCCCCAGTTAATGTTTCATTATAAGCATAGTGTATGAAATGTTAAGATGCAAAAAGTAGTTTAATTTAACACAAAAAAATTAAGTCATGAATGATGATTTGATGACATGACATTATAAATGTCAACAAAAAACATTTAAATAATAATAATAATAATAATAAAAAGAAATGTCCTAATTGAAAACCACACTTTAAAATGTTAATGTTTAATTTAAGAGTCTAAAAAATGCTAATATTAATGATTTCCATATTAGTGAAAAGTTAAAACTATTAAAGATTGTACACTATCCATGGCCTGATTAACCAATGGTTAATAACACACATTGTTGAAATAAGCCATTTACACAAATTTTGTCAGACAAGTGATGTCTGACCGACAGAGACAACATAACTAAATAGCCCCTGTGGTGTAACTTGTAATGCACATAGCAACATGTTTTGACGCGATTGATCATCAACTCGAGTTCTAATATACCGTCTGCTGAACTTATTCTTATTTTTTTTCTCCCCATTGCATATCAGATGGGAAATACATTTATTTTTAATAGGTAGGAAACATTTTTTTTAAATTAAAATAATGCAAATGTTAAACAAAGTCACAAGTGCCTCGTGTGTTTTGATGATGTTTAT